AGCCAAGAAAGGATGTACCCCATCGCAACTAGCATTGGCCTGGTTGCATCACCAGGGAAATGATGTCTGCCCCATTCCTGGTACCACTAAGATCGAAAACCTCAACCAAAACATCGGAGCTTTGTCTGTAAATCTTACAGCAGAAGACATGTCCGAGCTTGAATCCATTGCTTCTGCAGTGAAAGGCGATAGGTATCCCCCGGGTATTTCAACCTGGAAAGATTCTGATACTCCACCTTTGTCAACATGGAAAGCTACATAATTGGTAATGTTCGTTTTAGAGGCATTTTGGTAGCCAAGAAAATTGTTCTGGATTTTTACTAACGTTTTTTTAGTGTTGTTTGAGAATAAGAGAGTGAAATCCCTGTGTTAATATGCCCTATATGAATTTTAGCCGAAGATGATCTCCAATGGAGGATGTTGTCATCCTTTGTACGAACTTAATGTATACACTTCTTTAATCAATAAAAGATCTCCGTCGCCGGGAAATAGTAGTTTTAGTCTATTAATATGAAGGAGATCATGCCAAACAACTGTTTGGCATATGGTGACACACCACGTGTATTGATAGTCTGGAGATGAGCGTTCTCTAAGAGCATCTACATTAGTTGGGAAGAATATGGGGATAATGTAAGAGTGATTAGAAGAGAGAATGTGGGGAAGGGAGAAAAAAAAAATAAAAAACCAAAATTAAAAAACAAACGAAAAGAAAAAAATAATAATAATAATAAAAAAAACCTGTCAGGCGCGCCGTTCGGCGCGCCTAACGCGTCCGTGTGGGCGGGCTGCTGTGCGCGAAATGCGCACAGCAACCCTTTTTTCTTTTCTTTCTCTTTCTTCTTTTTCTGCCATTCTCCCTTCATTTGCAGAATGAATATCTCCACAATTATTCCCACCCCACATTTGTTATTATCCCCATTGAGAAGAATTAATACTGAAATCTCCCCATAATATGCACAAGTGTGGATGCTCTAATAGGTAGAGTGGTAGACAAATTTTACTAAGATATAGTGTATTGGTATACTAAAGATGTGTTTGGAAGCCCAAAAAATAATTTCTGTAAATTATTTTTTGGGTTTTCAGTGCTTGTCAAGGGAAAATGTTTCTAGTTAATAAAAAATTGACTATGATTTTCAAGAAAATGATTTCTCCTCTTTTTTGGGAGTATTAGGACTAGAATTAGGATCTAGGACTCCCTATTCTAGTCTCCCTATGATTCCTCTTGTATATATATTCCCCTTACATGTACATTGTTATTACTGTCAATAATATACAATTTTCTACCGTTCTCATCTGGTATTAGTTAAGCTAGGGTTTTTTTTTTTCTATTCCAGTGGTTGACGAATCTGCTAATTCCTCCACCCGGACCGTTTCCAATGCATCCATCACGTCTTCTGCTAGCTCTGTTGTTTCTTCGCTTTCTACTGCTCATCACTTTATCAGTATTAAGCTTACCCATAAAAATTATCTATTTGGAGAACTCAAGTCGTTCCGTTTCTTGGCGGACATGGTCTCATGTCGTTCGTAGATGGATCTCATCCCAGTCTGGCGCCCTTCCTCCCGCCGTCGACAGTGCCTCGCCGGTCCCGAATCCTGAGCATGCCACGTGGTTTCGACATGATCGGGCCCTTATGTCTATGTTGATCTCTTCTCTCATGAAGAAGTTATTCACCTCGCCATTGGATGTCGTACGTCACGGGTGGTTTGGGAGTCAATTGAACAGTCTTTGGCTTCCGCATCTTGCACCCGTTAGTTAAATATCCTTGGTAAACTCCAGTCTCTGAGCCAGGGAGATTCCACGGTTGTTGATTGTATTGGTCGTGCCCGTGTTATTTTGGAGGATCTTGCTTTAGCCGGTCGACTGGTCGGGTTAGACGGGATGAATCTTTATGTGTTTCGGGGTTTACGGCCAGAGTTTCAAAACCTAACTGCATCTCTGTTTGTCCGCGGTACCGTAACCCTAGGCGAGCTGGCCGAATTTCTTGGTGCTCAGGAGTTCATCCGTGGTACGGCTCCTGGAGCTCCACCGGTAGCCTTCACCGTTCTGCGAGGCGGGCAGACCCGTCGTGGATCCACTAGCCGCGACCACGTCAATAACCGCGGCGGACAGAACATTAGTCGCGGTGGCCAGCGTGGAGGTGGCGGCGGCAGGTCGCAAGTTGGGCGTGGCGGTCAGCGTGGACGCGGTGGCAACGGCTGTAATGGCGGACCGCCGGTCTATCAGATCTAGGGTCGTACGGGGCACTCAGCTTTGGCTTGTTACAATCGTTATGATCATCCTCCACAGATGGCTCTTAGGCTTGGATTCCGTATACTAGAGCAATCAGCCATGTGATTCCAAATATTGTGGCCTTATCTACATCAGAAGAGTACACGGGTAATGACACTTTGCGTTTGGGTGATGGTAATGCACTTCCTATTAGTCATGTAGGACATGCTTCTTTTAATACCACACCTCGTTCTTTTCAATTATCTAATATCCTCCATGTTCTCAGTCTATCTACATCTTTATTATTTGTTCAAAAATTTGCAATAGATAATAAGGTGCTTTTTGAGTTTCACCCGTCTTTTTTTGTTGTGAAGGATATCAACACCAAGAAAATTCTACTTAAAGGCAATAGTCGTGGGGGCCTTTATAGACTTCCAATTTCCCCGTCATCTCCCTCAGCTTTTCTTACAGCTCGTACATCTCCGTCAGTGTGGCATGATTGTTTAGGACATCCACATCATCGTGTCTTACTTCGTATTCTGCAGTCGTGTTCGGTTAGTAGGTTAATAGTTCTATTCGATGTAATTCTAGTTTGTGTAATGCGTGTCAATTGGGTAAATCTTCTCGATTCCCGTTGGCACGTGTTGAGTCCTCCAGTTCTAGTGTTCTTGATTTAGTTTACACAGACACACTAGGCACTGACGACTTTCATCTTCTTGCTACACCAACCAACCTTCTTTCATCTTTTTGCTACACCAGTTGCTTCTTCTTCATCTTCTTGCCAGCATCTTCCTTTTCGTCGTTGTCCACCGCCACTGCTATGTCCACGGTATCCACTAAGGTATTTTTCTTTATTTTTTTATTTATAGTTTTGGATTTTTTTCAATAACGGATCACTGCCACCAGAGACGGTTTCCGAATGTGGGGACAAAAAAACATAGTCGGAAACTTGCTGGCTGGTTTCCGCATCGAAAACCAGAACTAGTTTTTGAAGTTAGAAACCAGACTGATTTTCGACTTGGGGAACCAATGTTATTTAATTTTTTTTTAAAATTTTTTAATACATATCTTCTTTGATTTTGCTTTCCATCTATCTGTAAATGAGTGTTATGGATTCATTTGAATTTTGGGTTATACATGTGGATTGTCTAGGGATGAAAATAGGATGACCATGTTTGTTTTGAATAGAAGTTAGAAATAATTTGTGATTGGATAATGTTAAAGTTTTTTTTGTAACTGGATTTTTTGGAAAATGAACTAAACACATTGATACAGTTTTCTAAAATGCAACCAAACACTAAAAATGAAAATGTTTTCTGTAAAATGACTCATTTTCAAAAGTCATTTGCCTACTTTCCAAACACTCCCTAAGAGGTTGACCAGATGGACTCTTTAAGGCAGTTGATTGGACGAAACACGACCACGTGGGTAATAGGCCCAAAAGGTAATTAGGCGAAAGAGTTCAAAGAAGGATACCCAGTATGAAGTAGCCTATGAGTTTAATATGATTGGACCTATTCATAGTATAGTAGGATTGAGCCTATTCGTAGTACAGTAAGATTGGGCCAATCCGTAGTGTAGTAGGATTGAACTTCCTATTCTTATGTAATAAGGATTCGCAATATGAGGCAATCTAGGAATCAATTCCTTTTTAGGACTCTTGACCGGACACTTTTTGTTTATAGTTCTCATTTAGAAGCGTCGTCAAAAGATTAGATGAGCATGGTCGTCTGTGGAAAGAGATGAAAAGAGTTAGAACGGGGTGAGTGAGAACCACCCCGAGTGTCGTACTCAAGGATGGCAATGCGGAGTAAGTAGAGTGCAAAACAATCATATGTCACGGTGCATTTCAAGAGAAAACTAGGTGCAAGGAGTGTAAGTGGTGTATGGGCGAGTGTGCGGGGAAGATCATAGCAAAGAAAGTAATAAGACTAGATTAAAATTAAGCGGGAGTAGGGATTACTTAGAGAGAGAAATGTGGTACGGATTGGGTTTCGATTGCATTGTGTGATTGTTCAATCCCGAAATGGGAGATTTGTGGCAATTAGATTGTGCGCTACTAGTCAAGAGAAGTGGATGGCGAATACGTTAGCCGATTCAGTCTAACGCCACCCGTAGGAATTCTTATTCTCTACGAGGCATTTAAACAAACACTTTGCCCTCACTTCTTTCCGGGTCTTGCCCTCTCGGATCGAAGAAGGGGAAATGAAGAGGATCAAGGCTACCCGGATCTAGCAATCTCTTGCCTAGATCTAGGTTTCCAACATCATCCATGGAGTTGGGCCACTCCAAAAATGTCACAAAGATCATCCTCAACAACAAGACATCCACATAGTCAACAATTAATCACAAGCCAAAATATCCACAAATTAAATCATCATCACAATACAAATCTACACCACAATCCTACCCACTAGATGTTTAGCCAAGCATAATAAAATCTAAATCAACAAAGGATAAAAATAGATATGATCAATGAAGAACAAGGAAAGATTTTACCCAAATGGAAGATTAGATCCGTCAAATACAAGCAAATGATGGAGATCCGTTGCCAAATGCCTTGAATCTCCAACTCTTCTAGCCAAATCTAGTGAAAATAGATGTTTGCTATTGTAGATCTAGTTTCTATCTCTATAATCATACTCTAACCCTAGAAAACCTCTCTCTAAATCTAGAAGAACTCTCTAAAAAATGAATTGAACTCTCCTTCCAAATATGATTTTTGCCCTTAAATACTCTATTTTGGTTCGTCACCTTGTTCACGCACGAGGCCGCGCGTGAATAGGATTTTAACTCCTTCCGCCCAAGCTTTTGTCCGGTGCTTTAAAATCCTATTCACACTCCTCTCACGCCATGAGGGGGGGGGGGGAGGGGTGTAAATGGGGAATATTTCCCCTTCTCTTCCTTCTTCTCGTGTGTAGTCCCAGTGCGTTCTTTTTCCCGGCTTTGCTCCTTTTAACCTTTTTACCACATTTTCCGTACAAAAGTACCTAAAAACAAGTAAAATATATTTAGGAAGGCATTTCCGTACTAAACCCTGCTTTTAGGACATTTTACTCTAAAGTGCAAGACTTTTATATGAAAACGAATGCAAAACTCCTATAAAAAGCTCATAGAAACTAGCATATTTTCAGGCTTATCAACTCTAAGTACACTTGTATAACTAGACCCCCATACATGGGAGTGATGATAAACGATTATCATTAATACAAAATATTTATTCTCTTTACATGCTTTTTTATATTTCTCATATACTCTTTTTATTAACGGTTGACCGCCCAAAACTCATAAAACCAACATTGGCGCCGTCTGGGGGATATATGAAAGGTTTACGTTCGTTCCTCCAAGCAATTAGAACTCAAGAACCTCAAACACGGTCATCACCTACCCAAAACTCAAAGAGTTTGCTATGGACGATTAACTCAAGATCTATGTGAAACCTTGAGCAGACCTAATTCCCATGCCCAGTCTGGTCGCTTTGCTTGGCCAATGGAGAGAAACTCGGAAGAAGATCCTTGGGGAGAAGATGTACGATCATCCATTGGTCCAGTCGACACCAAAAGACCCAACATGGCGATGGCAGAAACCGTGGAACGCCTCTTCTTGGAGGCCTTGAGACGCATCCAGGCACCGGAAGTGGCAGTCCCCACGACGGTGGACCCCGTTGGCCATGGTCAACCGCAAAGGATATTTGACCCGGACCGATCTCAGAAAAGGACAAGAGGACCAAGTTCGCTGGATAATCGAGAAAATCAACCAGCACGATCAATCTTGGACAGTTTGGGTCCTCAAAATCACCCAGCCACATTGGAACATCGAAGTCGTGGCAATTAATCAATTGGTATGCAAAGCCGAACGGTCAGGCTTAACCCCCACCGACGAGCCAAAGTCGCCCAAATAGTTGAGCACCGGATCGACATGTCCTGAGGAGTAGAATACATAGAGGTCGATTCCTCTAAGAAGATAACTGAGAGTAGCGGCGGATCACTGGAATCAACCAAGAAACCCAAACCTGAGATGTTGTAAAATTAGCAAAGGAAGTTCGGGACATATAATGCAAGGTGGAGGGTGGGAAGGACTTGCCAACCGCTCGATCGCTGTTGTCCACCAGCCCATATATTCACCGAGGGTATACCATGTTACTAAGTGTCGAGGAATTTCAAATTCCCTTCGATGCCCATGTATGACGGGACTTACGACCCAAGCGATCATCCCATCGGTTTTTAGGCCAAGATGATGGTGATAGGAGCAGAGGACTCCATGTACTGTTGTGCCTTCTTCTCAATACTGAAGGGCCCCTGCCTACTAGATAATAAACATATGGTTATACAACAAAATCTTTCTGCGAACCATTACTCAAAATGCCTTCTACCTAAGGAGGTCGACCAGATCATTGAAGAAGCCCATAGTGGGGTTTGCGTTGCCTATATACTGTCGTGTCTTCTTCTCAATACTCGAAGGGCCCCTACCTACTAAATAGTAGACAAATAGTTATATAAAAAATCGTTCGGTGGACGTTTACTCAAATGCCTTCTGCTTAAGGAGGTAGACCAGATCATGGAAAAAGCTCATAGTGGGGTTTGTGCCGCCCACCAAGGAACAAATATCTTAGATCGAAAGTTGCTTGTAAAAGGATACTATTGGCCTAGTATGGTCTAGGCTTGCATCCAAAAGGTCTTGCACTACAAGGTATTGCCATAAATTTGCCGAGAAACAAACTCGAGCAATCACCTTCTATACATTGATCACCACATCCATCCCATTTACCAAATGGGGAGTCGACATCCTGGATCCTCTGCCTCGAACACTTAGTTGACATAAATTCTTCATAGTCGCCAATTATTACGTCACCAAGTGGATCGAAGCTGAGCCATTGGTCACCATCACTAAATACCACTATCAATGGTTCATATGGAAGAAAGTCGTTTGCCGCTTTGGACTGCCTGAACACCTAGTCACTGACAATGGCCGACAATTTGACAACTAAGAAATCGCTGAATTCTGGTTAACCTACTCCATCAAACACACCAAATTCTCGATGTCTTACTTATGCGAATGGACAAGTAGAAAACACAAACAAGACGATAATGGACGAAATGAAGAAAAGAATTGAGGAAGAGAGTGGTGCTTGGGTCGACCAGTTTGATTACATCTTTTGGGCTCACTAGACCATGTCGAGCGACCGGAGATGCCCCTTTTAGCCTGACCTATGGGTTCGATGCTAAGGCCCCTGTGGAAATCCTCCATCTGACCAGAAGAGTACAATAGTACGATGACCAAGTAAATGAAGAATTACTACAGTTGAAAAAAAATTTCTTAGAGGAACGAAGAGATGCGACTGAGCGACGAGTGGCCAAGTATTTCGACATAGGCAACCTAGTACTTTGAGACTGAGAAGCCACTCATCAACCTAAGGAAGAAAAATGGCAAAAAATTGGGAATTAACATACAAAATTGTCGTGATTATCTGACTGGGCACTTATAAGTTTTAGAAACAATGGAATGAAGGCTGATCGATCGCATATGGAACTCGCTACGACTGAAGAAATTTTACCAGTGTTAGGAATCTAGCTTATGTACTTAGCAAAGTGAATGAGTAAAGTGGGGGGGGGGGGGGGGGGGGGGGGGGGGAGTTGCAAATCAAATTCCAAAATGAGTGTCGTCCGAAAATTGGTAGCCCAAAGTGCGAATGTTACACGATTCAAATATCAAACCCGTAACTTTTCATTTTAGTGCTTGTTTTTCCAGAATTATTTTCAACTCATTTCAATTTCTTTGAATTTGTTCTTTGTTTAACCTTAATTATGTCTTCATTTTCTTACTTTTGTTTAATTTTAATGATTTCACTTATTTCAAATTAAGTTTTTATTCGAATAGTTATGTAATATGAATTATTTTATTTCAAATTGTTAAATAATATAATTTCTATTCAATTATATACATAAAGCAAATATTTTTCGATTTCTGTTATTTTTAATATTTGACTGTAATTTATATATTGATACAAAAGAATAATTGTGAAGATAAAATAATATTTACTAATATATAATTCTCTTTTAAAGTGATTAATAACATCATTTATAATGTTATTTAAATATATTTGTTGATGGAGGGTAAAAAATGGTCAGCCACAATGATGTTAGCCGCAACAGGAATGTTTTGAAAAAATGACTGAAAATGGAATAACAAATATAAATTTAAGACCAAAAGTGGAAAACGACTTAACACTTAGAATTGAATAGACTAAAATATCGATGTATTTAACGCCATTTAAACGAATTTTTTGATGAAGGACCAAAATGGTCGTGCCACAATAATATTAAAACCAAACTAGACTGTTTTAAAGAAAGACTAAAAATGAACTTACACCTATTAACTCTTATGATTAAATGTATTTGAATATTTATGTAATTTATATATAATACTTGAATTAGTAATTTATTTTTCTTTCTTTCTTCTTAATTGTTATTTCAACTCATTTCAATGTGATTGTAATTTATATATTAATACAAAAGAATAATTGTGACGATAAAATAATATGTATTGATAAAATATAAGGAGTAATAATTTTTTAATATGACCTTGAGAATGAAATTCAATTCATTATTCGTTTTAAAAGTGAGTTAGAATTATAGGAATGGACTTGACATGGCAGAATCCACAAGTGGATCAACCCATCCCTTTCAAATCTTCAGTCACTTTGTTGAATGCTGATAGAGATAGTATGATAGTAATCCAATTTTGAATAATCAAAGCTTCTGTCACTGCTTACATCACAAGGAATTTTTAAATAATAAGAACACCAATATCAGTGCATATTGATATTTAGAGATGTAACATGCGATTTTTTGTCAAAATTTTCTTCCTGCAAAAATAAAGCAAGTTTTGCAGAGAATTTAAGAAAAAAAAGATGGGGGAGGCCTGATGTGCGCAAATGGAGCGCACTTCGCGCCCGCTGTGGTGCGCCAGAGTGTACTGGCAGTCACTTTGACTTAAAGCGTGAATATTAGTGGATATTTGGGAGATATTTTGACAAATTGGAGAGAGAAATAGAGAGAGAAGGTAAGAGAGAAGAAAATGGTTCATCTGCAAATATGAGGGATTTTAGATCAATGCACGCGTCATAAGAAAATGTTTAAAGCATTGAAGCTGTGCGCGTTACAGCAATTGGCCATATGGACGTGTGCAGTGCACGTGCTCGATGATGTGTCAGGCGCGTTGACACGTGCAGCGCGCCTAACTGTGTTATTTTATTATTTTAAAAAAAAAAATCAGTTTTTTTCTTTTTCTTTTATTTTTTTTCCCTCCCTTCTCCCATATTCTTTTTCCTCGTTATACTTACAAAAATTCCTCAAAAATCACAAAAAAAAACCCACTATTATGAATGCTCTTAAAAAAGCCTTTTTTTACTTTTTTTTTTTCAGAGTTGTCAGACTGCGTTTATTTTCCTTTGTCTCACTCCTACAAGGAACTTGAAAAGCCACAAAAAACCTTGACTACTATAGATGCTCTAAAAGCTTCTGTCACTGCTTACATCACAAGGAATAGTAATAAATACTAATGAGTTCATTCCATTCCATTGGCTTTGACTGATAGAACTCATCTGGAGGAGAAATTCTAATGGCAACAATAATGGTTCCAAGGATCAAACTCGGGTCGCAAGGTCTGGAGGTTTCGGCCCAGGGTCTGGGCTGTATGGGAATGACTGCGTACTACGGCACACCCAAGCCCCAACCCGACATGATTAACCTCATCCACTATGCACTCAACTCCGGTATCACCTTTCTCGACACCTCCGATGTCTATGGCCCCCATACCAACGAGATTCTCCTTGCCAAGGTTAATTTCTAGTGTTTATATTATATATATATATATATATATATATATATATATATATATATATATATATATGAATTAATTAATGTCATATGAGTTTTTTCACGTTTAGTTCTAAACTTTTAAATTTATCACGGCTGATGCTTCGAGTTTTAAATTGTTTCCATCCATCCAAGTTTACCACCATGGTCTTCAACTTTGATAATGTAACCAATTGTGGTCATCTGGATTCTGGAAGGACGATGTGTGGTTAAAATTTGATAATTGAAGGACCATATTTTACTTTGACCACGAACGGTAACAATTTGAAAATCAAACTATCATGGGTGATCAATTTAAAAATTTAGCACCAAACGTAATAAAATCACTATACTCAGAGTATCTCAGATAGTAGTAACTCTTTATATATTCTATTTATTTTGTTTCATTTTCTTTTTTAGCAATTTAGGGTAGGTCTTCATTATAGCGGTTCAATTCCCCAATTATTCCTTGTTTTATGTAGTATTCCATGCCAATTAATCCCGCTTTATGCGACAGACTATACTAGGATGAGAATGAGATAGGATCAAATATTTATCACTATATCAAAATTATAGTTAGTAGTGAATTAATATTTCCTTAAAAATTACCATTACATTTTTTGATGGACAGGGTGCTTACAAGCCAACTCAACCAACAATCCCAACCTACTTGATGGACTTATACTTTAACAACCTCCGGCCAACACAACCCTTGTTAGTTTTTTCAAAGGATATGATATTATGATATGATACAAGTAGTTCATGATGCTTGAACATTCCCCCATTTGGGATAGAGATTTGGATTTCTAATGTTTCGTCAAGTTTAATTTTCTTCTTTTCTTGAAATTTTATATTTTAAACTTTGTGGAATCTATAAGGAAAAATTACATTTTTAGTCATCTAATTATACTCGTAGTATAGACTTAATCTTTAAGTTATATACTGATTATTTTAAGTCCTAATGTGATATGCAAAGTGACGTCTTTAGTCTCTTGAGAACTATTCCTGCCACTAATATGTCAATAATTTATTAGGGTTTAAATAAATATACTTGGAGGATAAAAAATGCAATTTTCACTATCTATAAGTATATGTTTTATTAGGCTTTGGGAGGTGGGATGAGAGAGAAAGTGGAGTTGGCAACAAAGTTTGGAATTAGAAGTAGTATAAGCACCCCAACAAAGTCAAGTGTGCAACAAAGTATATGTGGGGATCCTGCCTATGTAAGAGCTGCATGTGAGGCGAGCTTGAAGCGGCTTGATGTTGAATGCATTGACCTCTACTATCAGCACCGCATTGATAAACACATTCCCATTGAAGTTACGGTATGATCAACTTTTTACAAGATAAATGGTAAATGGTTGTTAGCTGATAGCCGTTAGCTGATTTGGTTAGTAGGTTTGACTAGTTAATAGCATTGGCTGATTATAGAAAACTGTTTAGTACATTAGTTGTTAGCTGATAGGTAATTACATACAAAATGACTTTTTCAAAAAATTGATTGGAAAAGTTACTTTGAACAACTTTTTGAATTTTAGCATTTTGGAGCAATAAGTTGTTACAAAAAAACTAATTAATCAAAAACACATATTGATTGTTTAACGAATATAATGCACTGCATATATATATATATTTATGTTTCTTATTTGTTTGTATTTGTGTTTTGACAAGATGGGAGAACTTAAAAAGCTGGTTGAAGAAGGTAAAATAAAATACGTAGGTTTATCTGAGGCTTCAGCTTCAACAATCCGAAGAGCTCATGCTGTTCATCCGGTAACAGCAGTACAGTTGGAATGGTCTCTTTGGTCGAGAGATGCAGAGGAAGAGATTATTCCTACTTGCAGGTCTTCTATGTTTCATATTTGGCCTAAAATAGTATGGAGTAATATAAACATTTTAAGTCTGATATGTCCTCCTTAAAATGATACAGGGAGCTTGGGATTGGAATTGTTGCATACAGTCCTCTGGGACGAGGATTTTTGTCGTCAGGTCCAAAAATAGTTGAGAATTTATCAGAAGTTGATAGGCGAAAGGTATATTAGAGTTTACTATTTAAATATATATCATTTTTTGTTGGGGAAAAGGTCAAATACACACTCGTATGAAAAGTCAATTAGACTTATGATTTTTTAAAAGTTGCAATCAAACACATTAACATGTCAATTTAGTGCATCTAAGCTCAAAAACAGATTTGTGACCTGTAATAGCTGGTCGCTAGGGTTCCTTCCAATGATGCTTCAGCAATATTCGAGCTACCTTTTGGGAAAACAGACAGTCGGCTACCGACAAATGGTCACCGGTCGCCTTCTGGAGAAGGTAACCAGTTGGTGGCCCCCGATCACCAGCTTCCCTGCGCAGGTACCCAGAATATTGTCAAAGTATCCTGGAACCCTAGTGATCCTGCTATTACAGGTCACTAATAAGTTTTTAAACTTCGATGCACTAAATTGACATGTTCAATTATAACTTTGAATAAAGTTCAAGAGTATATTTGACAATTTTCCCTTTGCTTTCTTACATTGAAGTTTGAAGGATGTATTTTAAATGTTTTAAATTTTCCAGAGTCATCCAAGGTTCCAAGGTGAGAATGCTGAGCACAATTACAAGTTGTATGAGAGGATCAACAAAGTGGCAGCCAAGAAGGGATGTACCCCATCACAACTAGCATTGGCCTGGTTGCATCACCAGGGAAAAGATGTCTGCCCCATTCCTGGTACCACTAAGATCGAAAACCTCAACCAAAACATCGGAGCTTTGTCTGTGAATCTTATAGCGGAAGACATGTCGGAGCTTGAATCCATTGCTTCGGCAGTGAAAGGCGACAGGCAGCCCCCGGGTGTTTCAACCTGGAAAGATTCTGATACTCCACCTTTGTCAACATGGAAGGCTACATAATTGGTAATGTTCATTTTAGAGGCTGTATGGTAGCCAAGAAAATTATTCTGGAGTTTTACTATATATGTCTTTTAGAATTGTTTGAGAATAAGAGAGTGAAAACCATGCATGTAGTAATGCACTAATGCAACTACATAAACCTGCACACTATCTGAGAATGTGCACTGGGTAAATCATGCCTTGTAATTTTAGCTGACAAAAGATTAATGACCACAAGAAGGTAAATCAGCATAAGTTATTGCCCATAACTAACTGGTTCAAATTAAGAGGGCAAGGTTTTGAACTTGTGATCCCGTGGTTACAAATTTGTATACTTAGGTCTTAGTCATGGGTTATACCTAATGTTGTCTTCCTTTATACTTAGGTTTGTGTTTGGTTGTACACTTTTTGTACTTTTGTTTGTTATCTACGGGATTTGGTATCTATTAATGTGTTTGTTTGTGTACTTTTGTTATCTTATTATTAGATTCGAAACATTAACTCATTATCATTTTTATGTTTACTTTTGAACAATGGAATCAAAAATGAAGAAGAAAAAATGAAAAATAATTTTAAAAAATGAAAAAGTCATTCCATGCATTAAATATGAAACTTTAATACATGACAAAAACTAGTGTGAAATCATTTCGCGATTCATTATTTATTCGTGTAACGGCCCGGTAGTAAATAATTGGGCGTGTATTATCACAATTTCAATTATAGATATTATAATATTTATCATTATTAACAATCAATTTTATCTTAAATAGTGTTTACCCGGGTTCTAAATTGTGTATTTTTAGTATTGTAATTGTGAACATCTAGAATATAAATTGTGTTTCTAAGTTTTGAACATTTGTAAATACAATGCATGATTATCACAAATTGTGAGTTTTTAAAAGATAAATTGTATACCTTTGGATCCGGACCCACAAAATAATTTGCCCTAGTTACCCTTTAAGGGCAAATTACCGTGTGGACCATGAATTCAATATACAATAATAAACACAATTTATATTCTAGATGTTCACAATTACAATACTAAAAATACACAATTTAGAACCCGGGTAAACACAAATTGTGAATTTTTAAAAGATAAATTGTGTACCTTTGGATCCAGATCCACGAAATAATTTGCCCTAGTTACCCTTTAAGGGCAAATTACCGTGTGGACCATGAATGCAATATACATTTTTAATATACTAAAAGTTAATTATTTGTGTACTGAAAGTACATTATTTGATAATATATAAAAAAAAATCATGTATTTTCAAATAATGTACGTTATGAATACAAATAATATACGCTATGAATACAAATAATGTACTTTTAATATATTAAAATGTATTTTTTATTTATGATTTACACAAATGTGTGGACCATAATTATGGAATAATGATTGCTCCTTAAGTCTAATTAACTCATTGATCTCCACTTTCTAGCCTAATGTGATGTTGGGCTTAGGCCCCATTCCTCTATCAACATATCACTCCGTAATTAAAAAAACATTCACAGGCCTGCGTAGGCATTTATTACATTACTTTTCTGTACATGGTTCCTGTTTCAAGTAGAGCCGTCGAGACGGTCTCACGGGGCGGGACGGGCCAAAACACACCAAAGCCTGTCCTCGTAGCGGGACGGGCTAAAAAGCCCGCCTTTTAGCGGGCTTGGAATGTGGCCGGCCCGTCCCGTCATGTCAAAGCCCGCTGGCGGGGCGGGCTAGCCCGCCAATCAATATTTTATTGTGTTATTTTTTTTTTTTTTAAATATCACTGTACAATATCCTTAAAAAAATAATTAAAAATATCACTGTATAGACGCACAGTACACTAACACAATAACACTACCTAGTATTGTATTCCTATAAATCTATAATCCTTTAAGTTATAACACACAAACACAATTACACAAACCAAAATAACATGTATTAAATACTAAATATATATGTATTAGCAAGTAGCGGGCTAAACCCGTGACCCGCCCCACCTGGACCCGTGACCCGCCTGACCCGCCCCACCTGGACCCAGGCGGGGCGGGTTAAAAAGCCCGCCTCCTGGCAGATCAAAATTTGAAGAACCCGTCCCCTACCTACGGCGGTACGGGACGGGTCGACCCGGCGGGTAAAATTCAATTTTGACGGCTCTAGTTTCAAGACAAAAATGCACGCCCAATGGGACTCGAACCCACAATCGCTTGATTAGAAGTCAAACGCCTTATCCATTAGGCCATGAGCGCTTAGTATTAGTGTAGGATGTTTAATTTACTTGTAGCGAAAACGAAATTAAGGGTTCTGACCCAAACCACGTTAGGGTTAATTGAGTTAATTCCATTTTTTGTCATACTATTATAGGAGCTATTCCAATTTTAGTCCACCATTATTTGTTTTGTTATATTGCGACCACTATTATTATAAGTGTTTCACTTTTAGTCCACCGTTAACATTTTCGTCTTATAGCCGTGTAATCCGGGGATATTTCTATCATTCTATGGTTGAAGCTTCTCCTTTACCTTTTCTTCCCATCCGAGACCATGTTTGACTAAGGAAATCAGACAATTAAACGTAAAACCTAAAATCGAATTTCAATCAAGCATAATCGAAGCAACGAAGCATCGATTCCAACATTCTTCGAAGCAAATCCCAACCAAAATTGAAGAAATTGCAAAGCTTAATCGACGAATAACACACAGGAGGAAGCAAGGACGATGGACCACAAAAACCTAGGTAAAATTCGATTTTTTTTTTTTTTGTTTTTTTGTTTTTTTGTTTTTTTGTTTTTTTTTTTTGTTTTTTTTTTTTTTTTTTGTTTTTGCTTTCATGTATTCTGAGTTTTTTGGGTATAGACTGAATAAAGTAACCTAGGTAAAGCATGTGCTAGTCATTTAAGTATTTGTCATTGTTCTTTAAGTATTTTATTTATTATTAGTATTACATTTTTCGTATAAGTATTACATTTGATTTTGACTCAACGTGTCTCACGGACAAGAATCCATGAAATGATCTCACACAAGTTTGTGCCGTATCATATTAATACTTAATATATTTAAATATAGGTAAAAACGTGTGAGAGACTGTCTCATGAATCCTTGTCCGTGAGACGGGTTGAATCTAGATGAAAATGTAATATTTATACAAAACAAATGTAATACTACTAAAATATAAAATGTTTGTTATGTATATGAGGAATTGTAATATTTTTTCTAACACTTTCCCTTAACTTACAAGTAACAAACACTTTATTCCTGATTAATATTAAATTTTTGAGTATAAGTATTTTTCCATCTGTCCCATTTTATTTGTCCTACTTACTATTCATTGGGTCAAACTAACTCTTTCTTCTTTGTTTATTTTCTTTAGTATTTCTTTTACTTATTTTTAATTTTTTTTTGGGTGTTTAATAGTACTTATAGTGTAGTTTCTAAATATATAAATTTTGTATACAAATACTAAATTTAATATTATGAAAAATTAGATTAAAAATAACTTCAGTCAAGCTTCGTTAATCGAACTAGGTGAAACCTCGTTACTCGAACCAGGACACATAAAATGGGACGGAGATAGTACATTTTAATATTCACTCGACATGTTTCACGGTCATTGAGACGATGTCACAACGAGACTTAATTACACTTTAATATACTCCGTAATATATTTTGGAGTACTGATTAGTGATTAAGATTTATTATCACCGTAATAAAATATTATTTTGAACTACTGAATAAGATTTATGATATTAAATAAACAAGATTCGAATCCTTATTTTAGAGCATATATATGTTTAATAATTAATAGTGAGCGGTGATTTTGATTTGAGAATCCATGGCAGCAGAGCAAGGTGAGGGAGTGAAGGTGGTGCCGAGAATGAAGCTGGGTTCACAGGGCCTGGAAGTATCAGCTCTGGGACTGGGGTGTATGAGCATGTCCGCCTTCTACGGCCCGCCCAAGCCCGACGCCGACATGGTCACCCTCATCCACCACGCCGTCCACTCCGGCGTCACCTTCCTCGACACCTCCGATATCTATGGACCCCATACCAACGAGATCCTCATTGCCAAGGTATGCCATCACTCTTTGTATGCACATATTGGGCGAGCTTGGCCGGTAAAAGGTCAAGTCTAGCATTGGATAATTAAGAATTGTTGGACTAAGACTAAATGCTAAGTCTAACACTTAGACTCTAAAATATGAAATAATATAAGGAAATAAAGTTGCGTTTTTCTTACTATTTATAATTTTTGGATGTATCTTAATGGTAAATCCTATTAGCACATATAATCAAATTCAAAACTTATAGAGATCCATGAATTCTTGACTTCTTAACTTTCTTTTGCCTGCGATGCACGTAGGGGTGGATCTAGTGTGGGGGCAATGAGAACAGCTGTCCCCCTCTACCCACTCCATCCACCCCTTATATATAGGGACTCCTTGTGTATATATCACTGTTTGAAATTATTGAATTTCTGATCACCTAAATGTGATATTAAATTAAGTCGAAAGTCTTGTTTCGACTACTTTTGGTATCCGGAAAAACTTTTGTTGCTATTTCCGATTACTTTTTGCTTTCAACTTGATATAAGATCACTTTCAGGTGATCAAAAATTCAATAATTTCCAGCAGTGATAGTAGGTATTATGGAAACTTTTTGTGTGTGAAGGCGTTGAAGGGAGGGGTGAGAGAAAGGGTAGAGTTGGCAACAAAGTTTGGAATAACTTTTGGTGATGGGAAGATTGAAGTGCGTGGAGACCCAGCCCATGTGCGGGCTTCATGTGAGGCGAGCTTGAAGCGCCTCCAACTTGATTGCATTCATTTATACTATCAACACTGGGTTGACACACGTCTGCCCATTGAAGTCACGGTTAGTTTGATATGTGCTTAGTTTCTTCTCATTTTAGTCATATTTGATAATTATTGTCCTTAATTGTGGAAGCTAAGATGGGGGAACTTAAGAAGCTAGTTGAAGAGGGTAAAATAAAATACATAGGTCTATCTGAGGCTTCAGCTTCCACAATCAGAAGAGCCCATGCTGTTCATCCAATTTCAGCAGTGCAATTGGAGTGGTCTTTGTGGTCAAGAGATGTTGAGGAAGACGTAATTCCTACTTGCAGGTACCTTCATTTAGCTCTCCGGCCTATTGGTTAATTAGTGCCAACTTGTTCCCGTGTTATACCATACACTACTTGAGAGTATGCACCGGATACATCTCACCATGTGAGCCTAGTCAACAAATGACAGTAAATTATTATTGTGTTGACCACGATTCAAAACGATCGCTGAATTTTAGAATAATGTACATTATGTGTTTGAATAATGTACACTATGTGTTCGAATAATGTGCATTATGTGTTCGAATAATAAAACTTCTAGGGTAAGATAATGTACATTATATGTTAGAATAATATACATTATGAGTTAGAATAATGAAACTTTTGGGGTAATATAATGTACATTATGTGTTAGAATAATGTACATTATGAGTTATAAAAATGTATATTGCAGCGGGCCACTGTGAAAAAAATTGCACGAAACGACGTCGTTTTTGGACCGTGGTCCACACAGCTGTATGACCCACTATTCACACAATAACTATTGACAAATGATTGAGGTATATGAGCCTAGGTTGTTTAATAACTGACATGGTTAAGCCAAGAAAATCAATAGACCAGGCCGTTCTCATTTGGAGTCCTGATAACGTGATAGTTATAAAATTAATAGTCTGACCAATTCTATTGGGGTTGTCACTTCACAGAACACACCCTTACAAAAAGTAATAGATTCTAATGTTACCCTACCGTTTTTTATTATTATTATTATTATTTTTTTTTTTCTTTTCAGAGAGCTAGGAATTGGGATTGTTGCGTACAGTCCATTAGGTAGGGGATTTCTATCGTCAGGTCCAAAGCTGGTTGAAAATTTCTCAAATGATGATTACCGAAAGGTTTGTGGATGGTTTAATTTGCCCATATTATAATGTTTTCTTCTTAATATAAAACATATCAAGCACTTCGATCCGATTAATATTGTTGCCTAGCTATATAACTTATGTCACTCAAATTTATTCAATTTTGCAGTGTTTACCAAGGTTCCAAGCTGAAAATCTTGAACATAACAAAAGGTTTTATGAAAAGATTGTTGAAATTGCTGAAAAGAAAGGATGTACTCCCTCACAACTAGCATTAGCCTGGGTGCACCATCAGGGGAATGATGTATGCCCCATTCCAGGTACCACTAAGATTGAGCACCTCAACGAGAACATCGGTGCATTGTCTGTGAAGTTGACACCAAAAGACATGGCCGAGCTTGCAAAAATTGGCTCAGGTGATTCAGTCAAAGGTGGTAGGTATTCCCCTGGTGTCAGAACTTGGAAAAATTCAGATACCCCTCCATTGTCAACATGGAAAGATGTGTGATGGAATTGCCTATACAAGCAGCATTTTGTAATGGTATGGGAGATGTTTTTGAGTGTTACCTTTTGAGAATTAGAACCATGTTAGGGTAGGATGCATGACAATGGTTTTAGATTAAAGTAATAAAGATCACCAGGTCATCACATTTTGTTAAATGGGTCTTTGGGGGACTAATTGCGGAAGACATTAATGGCTTGTGCATGTTTTCCATCCCATGTTCAATCTTGGGAAAACACTTGGATTAATTCTTTGAGTAAAGTTTATTGGTTAATTGAGTTAAATCTTTGAGAGGTGACCTTTGGGGTGTTCTTGAATTGATTTAATTTGGGGTTTCTGTCTGATTCTGGTTAATTCCTATGCATTTTGGACTAAAAAGAGAGGGAAAATGATTAAATAGACCCTTGAATTTTATTCAAAAGTATAATTAGGTCTTTAAACTTTGAAAAAGTGCAATTAAACATTTGAATTTGAATTGTCATTTTGGGATCATCTAAACCCAGTAGCCGGTTATTTACCTGGAATAACCGGTCATTCAAAATTCTAGCGAATAAAAATTCTGACAACCACAAAAAAAAAAAAAAAGTAGAAATGGAAATGATCGAGATGGCCTCAACCGGAGAAGACGATCGGCCAATCATCTTCTCCAGTAGAAATGATCACCGGAAATGATTTTTTTATTTGAATGGTTGTGAACAGTGATTAGCGACTGCCAATGGTAATCAAAGTCAATAATTTATTCGATAAATTAGACTTATTTAACTCATTTTCACACGCTCCAATGTTTAATTGTATATTTTTTTTTATTTTAAAGGTCTAATTGTACTTTTGAATAAAGTCAAGGGTCTATTTGACCTTTTTTTTTTTTTTTTTTTTTTTTTCTAAAAGAGATGGTCAATAGTTACTTTGCCTTCAAATTATCGAAATACAGTACGGTTACAAAAATACCTGAGGTTTTTTTTTTTTTTTTTTGTTTTTTTTTTGTTTTTTTTTAAAGATCACCAGAGCCATTGTTATAAAACAAAAGTAAAATCAACCGGGAGTAATCCCTCATCATGTTTCAAAAAAAAAAAAAAAAACAAAAGTAAAATAATTGATTTTTTTTTGAAACAATGAAATAAAATAATTGAATTTACTACAACGATATGTTGTTGTATTTTTATTATGTGTTTCTCGAAAACCAAGTAGATCTATAAAAAGAAACTAAGCCACAACTTTAACTCTTTAAGAACTAAGAGACAGATAAAAAAATGTTGATAGGGTTGTGGTTTCATGCATAGAAAGAAGACATTCAATTTCACACGGCATTCTCATTACGATAACCGACAACTTTAATTTTAAAAATTCGATTTGAAGGATTTGAGGTGATTTGTGCAAATAAATAAACAGTACAAGAAGTTGATTAATGCAATAATATTTTTTGAAACATGACTAATTGGTAAGGCAGTGTACTGCATGCAGATCCTATTTTCTTTCAGGAGTACAGTAAAAGAAAACTTCTATGATTCTCTTGGACAACCAACAATAATTAGATAGATATAACCTCTTTGTAGAATCTCTTTAGATTTTAAAACCCAATTAATAAGTCCATAAGATTAACTCTTCTATATAATAATCGGTGGGTGGACAATTTGGTTCGATTCTTTCAAATTGTACCGAAGCGATTCGGTAATATGTCGAACAATCGAACAGTAACGAATTCTTGTATATTGAATGGTTCGGTAAAAAATCAAATCGAGTCGAACAATTCAGTAAAAAATTGAACCGAACCGAATATCATTCATTTTAATAATAATAATAATAACAACAACGAAATAAATTCAAATCTCTATTTACTAAACTCCTAATCGCAGAAGAACACCACTCGTCCGTTCTGACACTGTTGCCTCGCCTACAAATCTGCAATTGAACAAGCCTCACATGTTGCATGCCCTGATGCCCTCACCTAAGTTTATGCTTGCAAATCAAATTCCAACCACACGAGTCAAGCCCGAGCTCGTGTGCGCCGGCACCTGCGGGCACGAATGTCGTCTGGAAATTGGCTGGCCTTGCGGGCTAAGTTATGCCAAACTTCGGTATCATCGGCTCAGCAGCAGCAAGTTATGTCCAGTACTTTCGGTCTTGTGGCCGAAATGGGTGCGGGCTAAGTTCCACTTGTAGTTTCGGCTCAGCAACAGCAAGTTATGTCCAGTACTTTCGGTCTTGTGGCCGAAAGTCTTGTGGCCGAAATGGGTGCGGGCTAAGTTGAGACCGAACCCTGTACGCCAACGGTCTGGAACCCAAAAGTTCTGACTGTTATGGGGGTTGAATTCATCAGTTACGGAATTAATATCCTATTAACTCCAATTTTGAATTCTGAATTCAATTCTCATGTAATGGCCTGCTGTTATAGCTGTTGGAAAGCCAGCTTTAAAGTGCCCTAATAAATGCTATTTAATCCTTCAACCCTATATAAGAGAGGGTAGAGGCAGTAGAGTTTTTACACAGAAAATATAGAACACGAAAGTTCATCTTTTAGCCTCAAAACCTCTCTGCTTCTACTCCTTCTTTAGCCTACTGTGTTCATAAGCGTGTCTTGCTCGCCGGATTCCTTGTTTGAGTGCTCAAACATTGAATCACTAGCAAGTTTTATCCTGGTAAGCCTATGCCACAACACTTCTAGCATCTTTGGGAGGTGGCAAATAAGGTTTTAAGGAAAGAGTGCTCACTTGACTCTTGCAAAAACCCAACACCAAACACTAGCCAAATTTCTCCATCTTTCCTTCCCTTGTTTTTTTCCAGAAAATAATAATCTTATTTTTTGATTATTATTTATTTTCTCTACCAACGGTTCCAACAATTGTTGTTTATGGTTATAGTCATGAACTATTCATTTGAGTGATTTATTTTTCCATTCTATTTCACTTATTTATGATTTTATTGACTGGTTTGGATTAAAGTCATGAACTATTCATTTGAGTGGACACTGTCACCTAAGAAATGTTGAGAATTGAGGTTCCTAAACCGAATCAAAATCGAATTTTTTTCAAACCAAGCTGAAACCAAACCGAACTGTTAGGAATATTTTGTAAATTTTGATGAGCCGAATGTATTTTTGAAAAATCAAGTAGTCCCCATTTTTATTCTATTTGAGTCAGTTCAAGTCTACAGAGTATGGTGCACCCATATCATGCAACCCATGTACAAGTCTGGAAAATCACAAGTTGATTTTAGATGTTAAGCGGGACTATAGCTTAACACAATTATGATGCGGATAAGTCACAAAGAACCATGCTAGAGGAGTTGGAAGAAACACGTATTAGCTATGCCATGTGATCTTAAGTTCAAATCTCAAGTGAAGCATTTTTAACTAGCTTGGACCATATGGGAGACTAGCTAATACCGTATCCGTATGGGAGACTAGCTAATACCGTATCCGTATGGGAGACTAGCCCAAACCGTATGGGAGACTAGCTCAAGTATATTGGACCGTATGGGAATCCGTATGGGAGACTAGCTCAAGTATATTGGACCGTATGGGAGACTAGCTAAAGGAGACTCTCTAAAAGAGACTAGCTAAAGCTTGGAGACTAACTGAGAGACTAGCTCAAGTATATTGGACCGTATGGGAGACTAGCTCAAGTATATTGGACCGTATGGGAGACTAGCTAAAGCTTGGAGACTAACTGAGAGACTAGCTAATATGGAGACTAAGTGAAGAAAATGCACAAGTCTCACAAAAGCCATGCACCATATGTAGAAACACACCAAGTATGGTGGACCAAGCTTGAAATCGAAACAGAGCATCTCACCATGGACAACTATGGAGTTTTTACAGAGGTTCCAGTATATTATTTTACAAGGATCATGAAGGAGAAAATATCTGATATATTTTCATCTGAACATCAAGTTTTTACGGTGGAACCAGAGACGCTCGAAGAAGGCTGATTCGCGGAGAAATTATTTTATACTCAAGCAAGAATCAGCAGATAAATTATTTGATTAACTTGACATGTTAGAGCATTTATGAAGGACAAGAAATATCAAGCTTGCCGCGCCGAACTTATTCAAATTTTGGAGGCTACAAAATTCAAGACACGGCAACGGGCAAATTATTCAAATCATCTGACAAAAGGAAAAATGACATCTACCTAATATTTCAGATCAAGTTGACAATATCTTTTTGATCAACTACAATTCAAAATGGACGATCGAGATCGAAAGTTGATCAACGGGCAAATAGCTTTCATTGACTATAAATTGCCCAAGCAGACTTGAAGACAAAAAAAACCAAGAAGCGATAGAGCAGTTCAACAACTTGAACAACGGCTAAGACATACAAGCAAAAGATACAAGTTTTTTTTTTTAATTAGCCGAAAAGGGGGAAACAGAGCTTCATAGAATTAAATTCAAGTCTGAGTGAGAGAGAAATTTTATTTCTTTGTAATATTCTCTACTGAGTGTAGAAAGAGGGCGGAGTAACTAGAGAGAGTGAAAAACCCTGGTTGAGTGTAGCTTTGTGCGTAGCACTCGTTGTAAAGGGCAGAGTAACAAGAGGAACTTGTGAAAACCCTGTGAGGACGTAGCTTTGTGCGTAGTTCTCGTGGTGTAGGAGTACAGCTTGGTGCGAAGTACTCGGGAAGGCGGAGTAACAAGAAGAGCTTGCGAAAAACCTTGGAGGAGTGTAGCTTTGTGCGAAGCACTCGGAGAAGTGTCGGTGGACACTTATTCACTATTGTATCTGGGTGATCGAAGAATAGTGAATTTCCTCCTTGAAGTGAAAGGAGAAGAGTGGACTAGGGGGATTACACCACCTCTGAACCACTATAAATCTCTTTCTCTATTTACTTACTGCTCATACATTTTTTGAATGCTTATTCTAACTGCGAACTAACCCGATTACGATTTATCGCATATCTTTATCTGTCTGGGTTTGATAGTTCCCACGTTTGCATGCAAGCCAAATTTTACGTACATCATCTTTGAACCATATCAAGTGTTTCTAACGTGTTGCATGTTTAGAATCTCTCTTTGAGCACCACACTAATTAGGCACAAGTGTCAAATAGACCCATCTACTACTCCGAAGTGCTCAATTCCCCCCATCTACTAAAACATAAGCTAATCAGACACACTTACTTCCAAAAATTTACCAATTAACTTTTTTTGCAGGTTACCTCCAGGTTGCCCCTCCAAACTG